GACCTATGGGTACTCCATAGGATAGTCGTTGAGGACCTATGGGTACTTCATAGGATAGTCCTTGAGGACCTATGGGTACTCCATAGGATAGTCCTTGAGGACCTACAGATAACTCCATAGAATGACTCTTGAGGACCTATGGGTACTCCATAGGATAGCGCTTGAGGGCCTATGGACACCCATAGAATAGCGTTTGAGGACCTATGGGTATCCCATAGGATAGCCATTGAGGATCTATGGGCATTCCCATAGAACGGCACTTGAGGACCTATGAGTGACTCCATAGAATAGCCGTTGAGAATCTATGGATACTTCATAGGATAACCCTTGAGGGCCTATGGATACCTCCATGGAACGGCACTTGAGAACCTGTAGATACCTCCATAGAACGGCGCTTGAGGACCTATGGGTATCCCTATAGGATAGTCGTCGAGGGCCTATAGGCACCGGCATAGGATAGCCCTTGGGGACTTCTCTTATAGCCATATTCGACCTTTAACCTTCGACCCAGCAGAGCAACGCACAAATAATCCTGAATAATATATATAGGTAGAATATACATCAAATGTTCATGTAACTTCAAAAGTCCTAAGTAATTTATCATTGAAGAAAAGATCATGTTTTTTTATTAAAGCCTGCTAAATAATTTTTAAAAGAGCATAAAATAAACAATCATGCATCGTAGAGATATATTTTTTTTTGTTTGTGATTGTATATGATTCAGAATTTCTTAAATTATATTAGTTATTACAACTCAATAGCTTTTTATGTATAGCTTTTTTTCAAATCTTTGAAACGTTAACTTAGTTATTCTTTTTTTGTTAGTAATTTTTGAACAGTTTGTTTTCTTTATTGAATTGTAATTTTTTCGTTTTCCTTTGTACATTATGTGTGTGCATACGAAATAAAATAAATAAATGTTTCGATTGAAAAATAAAAGAGAAAACTAATTTTCTAATTCATATATATTTCTCTTTATCATGCTTCATTGCACAACAGCGCTTAATAACAAAATATCACACGCAAATGTTTTTGCGCTCATATCTTCAGTTAAAATGATTCAACACTTTCTATATTTGTTTTAAGAAGGAATATGGATGTATGCGATACGAAGAGCTGTGAAAGAAAGAAGACCAAAAAAATAGATACCTTATACAAAAGAAGTACGCTTCATTGTTCACATTAGGATTCATTTGTTATTGGAATATGCAAACAATAGAAATATACTTCTCAAAAACTAAAACTGAACAATAGGAATCAATGTTGAGAAAAAAAAAATTAAATCAATTCATCACTAAGTCAAACAAGCACGGTCGTTCACGACTGTATACGAAGATATACGACGACATACAAAAAAAAAACGATCGTTTTATGATCCTCGTATACGGTCGTTTACAGATATATACGAACTCCACATTCGTCGACCTGGGTAGATGTAAGCGTTTACACAACAGACCGACATCAAACAGAAACAAAAAAGATTTTTTTTTAAAATTTATCACCTGACTCCTTAAACAAAATGATTTTTTGTTTTATGCGTTTGATTGTTCAGAATGGTTTATAATATTGATTGCATGAGCCATACACCCGTTCCAGCTTATAGTTACATTCAAGGTCTGGTGTTATCAGATTAAAAACGATCATTTGATTTAGAATTATGTATTGCATCATTTTGAAAATATTTATGCATTACTGTTGTTTAAAATTAAGTGATTCAATCATACTCCTACGTACTAAATTTTTCTATTACAAAACATTGTATCTGAAATACAATTAATTTTACTGGTCATAGAAAAAAATCAAGTTAAAAACTGTATTTGTAGGAAAAAGAATTTAAATAGAAAAGGCCATACATTCCTACTCATCTGAAGAAGACAACTGTTTTTGTCGGAATATTGCATCATTAATCATTATTCAGATGATTATTCTATAAATATTACAATTAAATAAATTAATTCTTTTACAATATTTAATTTTTAAATAAAATTATACAAATCTATATGGAAGCATAAAATTTAATATACGCGAATTAATTAATTAATTAATATATCCTTCCTGATTACACGAATCGATAAGAGATTCGATTGGCATCTAATATATTCAGACTTTACCTCAGTTTTAATTAATAATAGGAAGGCTAATTAAAAGAAAAAAAGTTGTTGTGCATTTTTCTCAAAATTAATTGTTTTGCTGATGATCGAACTGAGAACAGATTTTTTTTTCATCAATAGATACACGCATAGTCTTTCAGATGGGGGAAAGGAATTTTTTAATTGGCCATCAATACTAAAGAAACCCTAGGTTTTTGATTGTGCCCCGCTTCAAAGTCCGTTGGATCCAAAATTTTCGAATTGGAAGCCGTCGAGTTCTACCCCTCTTTTAAAATCCTATACCTATCGTTGGTGAATTGATAATTTATCCTAAAAATTGCGTTTCACTTTATCTCTTATATTTAAGAAATAAATTCAATTTCAATGAAATACTGAAAACTTTATTATACTCAGATCAAGATCTGTACTGACATGTGGCGCTATCTATCAAAGCATTTCTCCAAATTTTAAGTCAAAACTAAGTTTTAGAAAAAAAAATCAAAACATTTGCAGTCTATATTCGATAAGAAATATTTATCTCATTGGTCTTTCATTGTTACTATGGTCATCAACACTTGAAAAACATGGTAACAACAAAGAAATGAACTTAAAGAAGAAAAAAAAAGCGAGTAAAGAACGAACAAAAAGAAAATGAAATCATTTAAAGAACATGAAAATCACTTACTCAACTACTACTTAACACATTTTTTTACGTCTATTCAATTTATAATTGATTGTTATGTAGAATATTCTCGTTTCTATTAGTTCTTCAAATTTAAATGCAAGTCGCACAACATCATCCAGTGCCTTCACGGCAAGAACACACAACTAATCAATGGCAAAATGAACCAATGTATTCAAGAACAACAACAACAGCAACACCAATGTCAAATCAAGTTTATCAACCTTTAGCATTTTCTATAGATGATCGTTTATCACAACAACACTTAACACAACTTGATTTATGTTCAAAAAATTTAAAAAAAATAGAAAAATTACCAAATAATATTAATTTTAATGTTGTTTTACTTGATTATAATGATATAACTAAAGTTGAACATCTCGATGTTCTTACACATCTTATTCAAGTAAGATTTTCTATATATCTACTCCGTATGTATGCATTTATATTTTTAGTTATCAATATCTCATAATCGATTAATTGATATTCGTTTAATAAGTCGTTTAAAAACACTACAAAAATTAAATTTATCCAATAATTCTCTTGATTCAATTGATTGTAAAAAAAAAGCAGAGAAACTCTTTTAATCGTTACATCAAATATTTTCTTTTCTTAGGTCTTAAAACTTTACAAAATCTTGTTATACTTAATATATCCGGTAATAATATTCATAATATTGGTGCATTAAATAATTGTCATTCATTACAAGCATTGAATGCAAGTGATAATTCTATTCAACATATTGAAGATCTTTCACATTTAACATCACTGAAGGTAAAGAAAAAAAGAAAGACTTTTCATGAAAAGGTTATCGAAAAATATTTTTCAGTCTGTAGAAATTTGAAAACATCCGAAGAGAATCAAACTTTCCGGATATGGCCTGAATATTTTTACAGGACTTTTATGTTAAGGACTATGAGCTGAGCTTTAGTGCGCTAAAACTTACTCAAAATACAAGCGAATGAAAGAGTAAACATTTCTCGACAAAATGATATAATAATAATTAGTTCATTGCAAGTCATTTGGAGTTATGATAAGGTACATTATGTCAATTTTCATGCTTTGGAAAATAATACAAAATTTTGATTTGAACTCAATGTTTTCAAATTTCTACAGACTAAAAAATACTTTTCGATAATCGATTATTTAATTGAAAGAAAGAAAAAAACCTAATTTTGATTTTTCTTTAGTATTTAAATTTACATAAAAATCTTATTGATACATTAACATCAATATCAAAATATTGGCCAAAATCAATTCATACATTAATCATATCAGATAATGAATTAAAAGATTTAACTGAGGTAAAATTTTTTCATTCATTTTAATTTAAAAGATTCTTTTTTTTTTTGCTTAATTAGATTTGTTATTTATCATCATTAATTGATTTAAATACATTATATATTCATAATAATCCATGTTTATTTGTTATTGATGATCGACATGGTTGTCATCAACCATTCGATTATCGACCATATATTCTTAATTGGTGTTTAACAATTCATAATTTAGATGGAATATTTATTACAAGAAAAGAAAGGTTCATATTGAAAAAAAAATACGATCTAAAATGAATGTTGAAACATGGAGGTAGAAATTTGAACTCTCCTGCAGACCGTATATCAATAACATCTTGTTTTAATATACGTAGAAGTGTAGGCTGATACATTGATCGGCTTATAAGGATGAAGAAATGTGTCCCTAAATAGATAAAATAGTTGCAAACAGTCCTGCTACCAGGTAAAAAGCATTTAAACATTAATCTTTTAGTCTTATATTTTGACCGTGTTGAATTCTGACCGCAAGAACTTGATCGGTCTGCATGCGAAGGAACTAGAAAGTCAGAATAGAAAGAAAATATCATGACGTTCAGACAGTTCATCACTGCCTCTATTATCAATAAAAATTCCATGTTAAATGGTTTTAGTTTACTTGATTTATGAAGTAATCTTTTTGGGTAATCTCCACATTAGAGTTCATGGAAATCGTCGAAAAGTGACTTATATCTCCGACTAGTTTTAACCATTACTCTTAAATTGTTCTCCAGAGCCTGTTGGGTTGGCTCTGGGTCAGAAAATGTTGAATCCGATGGGTCCTAGTTGTCTGAGAAATGTGTAGGATGTGCTAATTATCGAATACAAAAAATCGGAAAAAAGTATCTCGTATCTTTCGAACGCCTATCCAATTCCGATTAGAAAATTTCATTGAAAGTATCAAGGTACAGTTCGTCCGGACCCAAAAATTTTCAATAGTAGAAAATCAGAAAAGTATTAAAAAGGTATTTTTATTTTGAATCCTAGAGAAAAAAACCAGTGTTTTCCTCGTAAATTCTCTACATTAAGACTTATTTACCTCGGCTTGCTGCTTGCAATCACAGTTAATCGCGCTCTATTTGTAGTCAAAATATCAAGCAAAAGTATTGAAGTTGATATAATTTTTATCCGGTAGCGGTACTTCTTGTGGTTACTGTAGAATACAACAATCTTTCTGTAATTAACAACAATAGTTACATTGTGTTTCATATTTTACTTCGGCAGGCATTGTGCTAACAGCTGTTTATTTTTTTGTTATTTTAGTTTAAAATCTGAGTGGTTATTAAGTCAAGGTAAAGGACGATCATTTCGATCGGGAGAACATAATGATCTTGTTCAATACTTAATAAAAGTTTGTGGAACTAATGCAGAAGAAGTAAAACAAAATTTTTTTGTTTTTAGAAAATTTTGTTATAATTTATTTTTTGTTTGAAGAGAGATGATCTTCATCTATCACGTATTATGCTTCAACAAGATTTATATAAACCAAATGTTGACGGTAAAAAAAAATTTGAAATTATTTAATCAAATATTTTTATTTATTTATTCAAGAAACTTTGATGAGAACATCTAATACAATGAAAGATGCAAATGATACATTATCTAAAGGTTGAAAAAATCTTTTATTTCAAATTCTATTAATTCAAACTAATAAATTTTAGATAGTCAATTAAAATTACAAAAAAGTTTACTTATATCTGAATCAGAATTTGTTAAACTTAGTTCATCATCTTCAATATCAACAAATAATGAACCAATTATATCTGATCATCAAAAAATATCTTTTTCAAATTCAGAACAACAAATGCAAACACCAAGTCCTCGATATATTCGAACGACAAATCATAATGATGAACAAATAATTGAACATAATTCAAAGAATCGTTATAATAATTATGATAATCGACCTATAAAACCTCTCGATAAAAATATGCTTCAATCAAAACTTAATCAATATCCAATTGAAAATCATTCAAATGATGATATAAATATTTCACGACCACGAGCTACAACTAATCCTCAACAATCTAAACATACATCAACACAACTAACATATAATGCTAATCGATATTCACCAAAAACTACTACACGTGGACCAATAGTATCAACAGCTATGCATGTTAATATTCGTACAAAATCAAATAAAAATCTTCCTACACGTAATTATTAAGATTCTAAGATATATTTTCAAAATCGTTAAAAAAAAAACTTTTTTTTTTCAGAACAACATAATCAAGCAAAACGTCATACAATTGCTGCGGATAATACAAATACAATTCATTTATTGAATCGTACACATCGTACAACATCGACACTTAAGAACAAAAACAAACAACAACCTACTTCAAATGAAAAAAAGAATCGTAGGTGTACACTAAAAAGAAAAAAAAATGTCAAGGAGTAGAAAAAAAGGTTTAAAATAGTTACATTTTCGAACTTTTCTAACAATACTAACAGTGCCAGATAGGGGTCAAATTTTTTTCGCCCGATTTGAGTCGAACTCTAGTATCGAACGTGCCTTTCTCTTTCTCCTAAGAAAACCAATTTCTTAATTCCTTTTATTTCGTAGTTGAAAACAAAGGATATGTTCTTGATACTCTGCAGTTGAGACAACACAATTATGTGATAGAATTTTTTCTTGTTTTACTAAGCTTTTTTACGCTATCTTATAGAACTTTTAAATGTAGAAAATATTCAAAAAAAAAAGAATTCCTTTTTTTTTCAAAAGGCTCTAAAGCATCGAACATACACATGGATAAGATGGTTTCGCTCATGTCTAATCAAACATGATGATAATATTGAGAGTTCCAATAAAAACAAGAGAAAAATGTGGATGAGACTGTCTGTCAATTGATTGTAGTTTCATGACGAAAGTCTGTGAACAAATCGAAAATGTGTCATTTTGCATTAAAAAATAGTTTCTCCATCAAATAAACAAAATATTCATTCACTATTCAATCACTTAAACAAAGCTAGTTAGAGCTAGAAGAAATTGATTAGAATCAAAAGAATGCTCCGGTCTTCCTAAGAAACATCAGGAAAATTAAGTTTCGCATTTTGACTCGCAACTTGGCATGGAGATAGGCCTTAATGAGTAAAGTTTATAGTAAAAGCATGTATGTCATGCCGCTCTTGTACAACGGTTCATTCCGATGTTCTTATTTCACAACAATCACAATCAAAAAATCTGAAACTTTCACAATAATCTATTCTCATTAGGATCTCTTTCGAGTCAAAATTCGAAACTCAATTTTCCTGGTGTTCCCGAGGGGAGAGCACGATATTCTGCTAAAAAAATATAATAAACTATTAACCTGAACTTCTATCAGAGTATCCATAACTCATTAGAACCGTTCTCTCGTTAGTTTTGTAGAGCAGAATTTACTCTACACAATGTGTTATTTACTTTTACAATGACAGGTTTTTAAAATTTTTGGAATTAGCTCTTTAGTGGAAACACACAGATGAGATTTCTCTTATTGTAATATCTCACATTACAATAATTCCAAGTTGAAGCTATTCCAAGACACAAACTAAGAACTGCTATTTTACTTTGTACAGATACAATTTTTGAATTTTTGTCACAAAATTTACTGATAGTTGCTTAATCTTTTTATAGTAACAGATGATGAAGATGAATTACAATTAAAATCTGCACCTGTCAATACAATATTATCAACTCAAAATACAACATATAATCGAGAAAATAGTATTGAATTAAAAAAATTAACAACACCAATTGAAACAATAAGAACATCAGTTCTTCAAGCGTAAGATTAATTTAAAAATTTTTATTTTTTATTTAATTTTTATTAAAAAAATAGATATCTTGATTTACATGAACGATTTACTAAAACAACAGAATTACAAACATCAGCTTTAGCTGTACTTTGGAAAATGGTAAAGAATTTTAAAAAATACAAGTTTCTTATTGAAATTTTTCTTTTGTTTTTTAGTTCGATACACAAAATTCAACTCATCAACGTGAAACAGAAAAAATACTTGAAGAAAATCGTTTACTTAATCAACGTTTACATGAACTTGAATTACGTTTAAATATTAAATCTCGTACATTATATCCACCTTTACGTGTACATATATCAAAACGTGATACAAAAAGTTTTTTTCTTCATTGGATACCTAATCCATTAAATGAACAACATTCTATTCTTGGTTATCGAATTTATATTGATAATATTTTAAAAAATTCTATTCAATCAGGAAAATTTGAAACAATTATTGATTATATTTATGATGAAGGAGAATATAAAATAAAACTTCGTACATATGATGAATATAATGAATCAGAAGATTCAAATATTATTGTAGCAAGATTTCGTCGTCAACAACCAATAACATTACAGTCAGATTCAAATTCATCTGAAATAAAAATCATTCATCGTATTCAATCAGATCCTATAATGAATAATACTAGTCAAATACAATTGCAAGAAAATTTAGATAGTTCATCAACAAATGAAATACATTCATCAATTATTATAAATAAACAGCCAGATAAAACAACAGTAAATCATGATTATTAATTAATTAATATTTATATACAATTTCTTTTTTTTTTTTTCAGAAAACTTCTGAAGAGCTTATTTCACCTGTTAAATCAAGTCCTTCACATTCTAATTATGATAATATCATTAATCGTAAACCTCCAAAATCGCCTAGTACAAGTCCTAATCGTATTGATAAAACAACAACTAATGAATCTTGTAATAAAATTTTATTTACGAATAATTCTGATGATATATCTTCAACTACTACAACAAAACATAGTCCTATAGGAACAGGAATTATGTCTCGTCTTTCTAAAAGTCCGCATAGAATTAAACGTAATGTTCTATTAAATGCTTTAACAATAAATCAAACTCCTAGTCCAATAGAAACTGTCGATACAAATCAATCAGAAGTAATTATTTCATTTATATATACGACTACAGATATTAAAACAACAGTTACAATGATTGGTTTTATTTGTTTTAATAAAGAATCTATAGAAATAGAGAGAGTATAGTCACATATACACAAGTAGACACGAGCGGAGCCAGTTGTTTTTGGTCACGGTCAGAAAAACATTGACACCAGTCTCGGCCCGAAAAAATGATTTCTGTCAAAACACAAAATTAGTCTCCATCGTGGTCCCAGTCAGAAAGCAAAATTCTCCTCATTCCCAGTCTGAGCAAAAATTGGTCTCGGTCCCGACCGGAAAAAAAATTGATAACGATCTTGATCAAAAAGACTTCGGTTTCGATCCCAATCAAAAACAAATCGGTCACCGTCTATTTGGTCGCTGTTTCGGTTAGAGAAAATGGCTTCGGTCCCGGCCAAAAATGCTGTCCCAGTTCCGATCAGAAAAAAATTGATCCTGATCTTGGCCAAAAAAACTTTGGTTCCCGTGCCACTCAGAAAAAAAACTTGTTCCCAGTCCAAAAACAAAATGAGTCCCGCTTTCGGGACTATGCTGCTCATATCTATACATAAGTTAGATCTCGGTTGTTTATTTTTTTTTTACTTCGTTTAGATCAAATTAGTTGATCGAACAATAAATTCTCAAGTTGAATTACATAACGGCAGTAATCATGATCATTTTCTAGCTCAACAGCTTATAATACCATCAAATTCAACAAATATTTCTTCTTCTACTTCGCCTCCATCACCAATACCTCCACAAAATAAAAATATTCTTCTAAATTCACTTGATCATAATTCTTTTTAATTGTATATATATTTTTTCATGTAATTATTATTCATGGACTTCATGTTTTTTTTTCTTTGTCAGATATTTGATATGTACAACATAAAATTGTTGGTTGTTCTTTTCTTTTCTTTTTTTTTTAATCAAATTATAAATAAAAAATCTTTTGTCATAATTCAATCAAGATGTCGCACTCGACAAGATCAATAAAATTAGTTAAGAAAATATATAACGATTGGATTTAGACAAAAAATGGGTAAAAAAACAGAAAAAGTGAGGGACAATTAATCGACATGTCGTTTTTCTTTTAACTTATGAAATTAAATATGAAATCAAATACAGCATCATCAAATAGTTTCGAACGGCCAAAAGTACTTTTATTTAAATTTCTTGCTCATCAGTATGAATTATCTTTCTAATACTACATATATATATATGTATTTTTCTTTTAATAGAATTCATCCATTTGCTTATGCTGTAAATACTTTTCTTCAACCAGCTCTTGATGATTGTCGAACATTATTACATGATAATCCACAAGATACATTTAATATTTTATTATCACTTACACAAACATTTGTACGTTTTGCACCTGATTCAGAATTGATCTATGATGATATACAACAATTTGCTTGTAAATTAATACGATATATATATGTTGGAGTAGAAATTAAAATTCTACTAGTAGAGATTAAAATTTCGATTTCTACTAGGAGAAATCGAAATAACAGGCGATTTTAAGTTACACTAGTAGAAGTTAAAATTTTAATTTCTACTATAGGAGAATTTTAAATTCTACTAGAAACTTATACTATAAAATTATGCAAATTTCTTCTAGAATAGAAAATAAAATTAACCCGTATGTGATCACTAGATTATTTGATTTAATGCCAAAATCCACTTGTAATTCACTAATAGTAACTAATTTAACGTGTTTATTGATTTAGAATTTAAACTGAGCTTCACTCTAACCATCTTTTATTACCAATATGATGCTATTGTAACCAATTTGTGTGATAAGCACTTTAAAAGAAATCTTTTTCTAAAGATTCTATATGCTTATCAAATTTCGAATAAAATAGTTCTATTTTATATCATATTGAAGTGTTTTTTCTTTTGATACTGACGCGAGGAGTTCAAATTAAATATCTAAAATCTTTTTTTTTTCTTTTCGTTCGACATATTACATAATTAGAATAAGTATTAATTTTATTTTCTATTCTAGGGGAAATTTGCATAATTTTATAGTATAAGTTTCTAGTAGAATTTAAAATTCTCCTATAGTAGAAATTAAAATTTTAACTTCTACTAGTGCAACTTAAAATCGCCTGTTATTTCGATTTCTCCTAGTAGAAATTGAAATTTTAATCTCTCCTAGTAGAATTTTAATTTCTACTCCAACATATATATATTCTATTAAATAATGTTTTATTTTTTGTTTTTAAATTAAGATAAACTTAAAAATACTATTGATGAATGTTTTATTTGGCTTGATCCAGATACTATTCAACAATCATCACAATTACTTGAATCAATTCGTCATAATCTTTTATTTATTATTCAATATGAAAGTAAAAGAAAAAGAATTTTCAAAAACTAACAAAAAACAAAAAAAAAATTAATATCAATTGTTTTTTTCTTCAAATAGATAAACATAATACTATGTATACAAATATGTATAAAAAAATGTCAAGTAAATAAATTTGACAAAAATTTCATTTTTCTAAATCTTATGCATTTTTTAAACAGAATTAACAAATCTTCAAAAGATTAATTCATTACCAACAGAAATACAAGCTCTATCATCTAATAATAGTTTAGATACAACAATTCCAATTCAAATAGCAAATAATAAAGAGACAGAAATACATATCAATGGACACTCAGGTATATCACATATGTGGCTGTATTCAGTATTAGTAATCTAATGAAATTTCGAAAATATTCAAAACTTTTACTATATCCGACATATGGGCCATTTCAATCAAAACGAGGCATATAAGTTCTTTTAACTGATTATTAATTAGTGAATAGTACTCTAACTATATGAGAAAAAAATCCGAAAACTTCAAGATAGACTCTAAAAAATTAACTCTAGGACAGCTCATTATCTCGAGAGACATGTGTTTTAATTTTGCAATATAATGCCACTAACGAATAATTTTGCCCATATACAGAATGGCCCAAAAGTAATCGGGCAGTCTTTTATTGCGAATAACTTTTGATAGAAATATGATAGAGAGCTGCAATTTTTCACCAGATGAAGATGCATCGAACTGTATAATATAAAATAATTTGACCTAGGTTTTTTCAAGAACTTAAACCGATGTACTTCGTAATGTGACTATACTGAATTTTTTATAATCGGATGTGCATTCGAATCGCTAGTCGAAAATCTACAAAATTATGCAAAGGTTAGATTTTGAGAGTTACTCCTTTAGAAGTTATAAATATTCTAAGTCGATTTTTCTATTAACTTCTGTGAAAAAAATCAATTTTTTTTCGCATCTTTTCTTATTTTATAAGAAAACATTTTACTGACAATTTTTTAGAAAATTTTATAGTATGTGATTCGATGCGTCTTCATCTTCTCGTTCGAACGGTGAAAATCGCAGTTCTCTATCTTGTTCCTATCAAACACTACCGAGTTACTTTTATATGACTAAAAGAATATAAGTATTGTTTTTTAATATTAGATTTACATAAACTTAATGAACATGGCAATACTACTGTGAAACAAATAATAACAAATTCAATTCCATTATCATCTGATATGCCTGTGATACAAGATGAAAAACATTCAACATTTATTTTACCTTTACAAATAAATCAATTAAAATCATTATCTTCTCCAATATCATTTCAATCAACACAAAATAATATTGTTTCATCAATGGCAACATCAGTTACAACAAAACTTATGAATCAAATGAAAAATCTAACTGTTACTTCGATACCTTCTACTAAGGTTACATTAACATCTGATAATCAATCATCATCATCATCACAAACAATTCCACCCGTATCCTATCTAAGTGAATATGAAATAACAGAAACAATAACATCATCGAACAAAAAACCAATAGGAACTATAGCTTCTTTTCCACCACGTCATCTTTCAACAACAATGGATGCAGTTTACGAAAACATTTTAATGGCTGATTATGAAGATTTCTCATCAAAATCAAATGTAATTAATAAAAATGAAAAAATTCATAGTTACACACGTAATACACCTGCTCCAATACTTCTAAATGATGATACTTCTCGATCTGGTACAACAACATCAACACAAATGACACCAAATATATATTCAATGTATGTTAAAAGAAAAAAAAAACAAATTTTTGTTTTATTCTACTATTTTTATTCTATATAGTTATGATGATGAATGGGATAATGAAATAACTCGACAATATTATCTAAATCGAGGTTCTATTGAACCTATTTTAAATGAGGCTAAGTAAATCAATATAGAATTGTTTTTTTTTTTTTTTTGTAAATTTTTTATTTTATTTTTATTTTAAATAATAAAAAAAAATAGTTGGCATCCTGTTAAAGATTGTCTTTCTATTGTTATTGAACAATCACATATGAATCATACAACAGGAATTACTCATTCAGATATAACTGATCAATATATACGAGAATTTGGAAATAAACAAAGTATATTGAAAACAAAATCTAGAATGATTTATTTATCTCTCTCTGTATATAGATCGACCTATTCTACAAGGTGATCTTTGTATGACATATGGTACACCACAAAGTACTCCACAAGCTACTTGTTTACCAATTGGAGTTGGTTTATCATATGATGAATTAACATTACTTTCATGTGATGTTCATCGAAATTCGCAAAATGTTCGTTTATTTGATATTGAAACTGGTCGATTAAAACATACGATTAGTGGTAATCAGGTATTTCAATAAAACAACGACTTTTTGTTAAACATGAAGTGCAATTTGATATCAAAGTTTATGAATGGTCTTTTGAGATTACAATCTGCATTTAACATAAAAATATACGAATTATAGAATCAGGACTGTAAACTCGTCAAGGGCAACAGTTAGCGATTTACGGTTATCAGCAACCGAAAGAGGAGAATTCCGGACGTCTTTTTATCTGATGCTATATAAGACATGATTATTTTAAAAGTCATAATCTCCGCAAAACATTTTAAAAAATTCATGAAAACGGTCTTTCGTTTGAAGGAATTATAGAATTCTATATAATTTGTGATTTTGTTTATTCAACAGTGAAATGTGAGAATATAATCATCTGAAGCATCTTTCAACTACTGAAAATCACAGATCGCTAGCGGTTACCGTTGTCGGTTTATTGAACTTATGCTCATCAATCTGTAATCCTGACGTAGGCATTAGTTAGCAATAAATAAATGAGACGTGTCTAAATTCCATCAGTTCTGAACTCAAGAATTTGTTGAAATTTAGATAATAGATCAAGCGACCGGGCGAGGTAGCCTGGTGAAGATTCTCCTATCCCTTCTCAGTGCTGAACCTCTGGGTGCTCTCGACTATTTTAGTACCTATGAGTCATGGCGGTCACGCCAGGTCCCACTTCAGACCCATCACAGATCAGGACAAACATTTTTGATACACGACTAGCGATCATATATCACTAACATCTTATGAGAATATATGAACTACTTTCTTCTTACAGTTCTAGAAGATTAAGAAAAAGATGATGAGAAAATGAGTCCCAACATAGATCGAATAAAACAATATTCTCGTGATTAGTAATAGCAGCTACATTGCGCTTTACATTTTAATTCCGTAAAGATTGTGCTGACAGCTTTTTTCTCAATTATTTGATAATACTTTTGTTCTATTACTATTCTTCAACATTTCATAAATAACGATCGACCAATTCTTAGTTCTTCATCGTTCAGAGCAGAGGTTGCTAACTACCAGACCAAGGTGAGTGTGAGTCATCCACATTCTTTTACCTCTTCGTTGTATGCCACATCATATATTATTCTTCTATCATAATTGCAACTTGTTCAATCCTAACCATTCTGCTCCTCATCCTAGATGAAAGAGAATGATTGCTTCTTTAATTTTAATTTAAAAGCTAAAAGTGTTATCGTTTTGATAGATTATTATTCTAGCTGTTGATCAATGCAAATGTTGCTTTATATATTCTGTCTACGGAATCTTCGAGGATATTCTAGAAACTTTCAGAGATGTTTGATCTTTGACCTTTAATGTTTGATATTTGATCCTTGGCATGCTCACATGATGCCTTAACGAAAATTCTAGAAATGTTTTGACTTTTGACCTGATGACAGACAATCGTATTTTTATTATAGAGGTATGGATACTGATATATTCAAAATCACTTCAATAAATGATTTATCTCTTTATTTTAATCCACTATTTCGTATAAACACTATATTATCTTCATGAAAATAACTGAAATTAGAATTTAGTGGATTTAAAAATACAGAAATATAAGTTGTTCTGCAGGCTAGACAATGTGATTGTTAACAGTTCTGGTTCAAAACGTTGTCTCTCAATTGATTGTTTTGAACAATTTTCATCGAATCAGTATTAGAATTGAACCTGTAGATCTCTATTCATAAGAACAATATCTTCAAACAATTTTCTTGTAATTAGCAATAGTAGATACATTGTGTTTTACATTTAAATCCTGCTGGGATTGTGCTAACAGTTTTTTTTTTCGTATAATAATCAAATTTGTTCTATCGATCGATTTTTAGCAAATGAAATTTCATCGTCCTAGTGCTGTAATGAGTAATGCACGTAATAATATTTTAATTGTCGAACGAGATTATATTTATATAACTGAACCTGATGGTCGTTTGATACAAACAATTGGTCATCGTTCTATTAAACAATTATATGGTTTGTTTTTCTAAGAGAGAAAAAAACGATCTTAATTTTTTTTTTGTATCATATTACAATTAGGTATTGCTTTATTTCATGATCGTTATTTATTAACAATTGATTCAAAAGTAACTGATAATCATACAGCTGAAAATAGTCGTTTATTATTATTTGATCCAAATAATGGTCAATTAGTATTTGAACAATCAATTAATGTTAATCGAGAATCAGAAGATATTTTAAAACAACAAACTATTAATCGTATTCAAGGAAAAATTTTATCTGAAACAACAAGTAAACCACGTTTTCTTGCTACATATAATGATAATATTTATATAGCTGATCTTGGTAAAATAAAATTTTTATATATTAAAAAATAATTTATTTAATTTAATAATTTCAAGGTCGTAGTTTAATCTATGGAACAAGTATTCGAAATCGATTTGAATATCAAAATACAACTGTATTTGGTGGTCAAGGACGAGCAAATGGTGAAATGATAGATCCATCTGGTTTATTTATTGATTCAGGTGGAAATATTATAAGTGCTGATAGTAAAAATGATCGTATTCAAGTAAAAATAGAATTTATTTATTTTTTAAAATAATACAGTAGTAAACAAAAATCTCCACCCCCGAGCTGATCTTACTCATTGTATATGGATGAAGAGTCTGAAAATTTACTTTACCAAGAATGTAGATCATTGATATTACGGAATTGTTAATGTTTAATTATTGATATATGAGGATAGATAAAGATAATGATCAATGAAGAAATCAAGAAGCTTTTTTTTCCCTTGTTTTAAATAATGAACAATAAGAAAAATTAAAACATTGATTTTTTTCTTGGTTAAAAAATATCCAGGTTAAAACAACTAGGTCAGAAAAACAAAGTGATTTACTCTATAAATATTTCAATTTTTATGTTGACTATAAATCATATTCCCACAATGTATATAGCTGGAACATAGGATTAGATAATAAAGAGCCAGCTGCCACACAATATTCTTCCTTTTCAAGGTTATCTAACTAACAAAAAAAAAAAAGTAACATCCAACATTAAGCGATAATTGCGCCATAGTACCAATCACTTATATTCTTGATGAAATACGTGTACGAAAATTTTCAGATCTCTAACACATACAGTAGTCAAGACTTTTGTTCGTTAATAAAAATCTTTTTCTAGATATTTACATCAGATGGTGAATATAAAACAACATTAAAATTAAATGAACGTATAAAACGTCCATCGGGTATATGTGCAAATCGTTCTGGTACAAAATTTTATATTTCATGTTATCTAGCTGGATGTGTACGAGCATTTAATATAACTTATTAGTTGAATTTCTTCTTCTTCTTCTTCTTTTCTTTTTTGTTGTTATTAAAGAGGCTATCTATGTTACTGTTTTCTTTTTTTTTTCTTTTAATTAAATACAAATAAACATGATTTAGAAATGATTTAATTTCGGTACAAGACCAAAATGTTCAATAAATACATATGTACCTAAACCTTGTTGTAAAATATCATGTAAACGTTCTTTATTAAATGTTGACATTGTATCATTAATCATTGATGATGATGATGATGGTGGTGGTGGTAGTGGAATATTAAAATTGCCTGGAATTGGTGATGGACGAATTGTTGATAATGGATGATTTATTGTTATTGATGATGATGATGATGATGGTGGTGGTGGTAAATTAAAAATATGTGATTCAGTTGTTGTTATACGTGAACGTTGAGAATCTGCATCACGTAGAACAGGTTTATTACGTTGTATGGAATCAGTATTGAGAGACATATCTGAAAGAATCATATAAAAAAAAAACATTAATTTAGTATTATGATTTTTTAGAGGAAAATCTTCCGGTGATCTGTTTTTCTCTGACACACAGATCATTTGAAAGTTTTCGCCTAATAAATTATTCCAAAAGATTGAAAACATTCATATTCGTGATCAATAAGAGAAGGACAAGATATGAGTAAGATGATCGTAATCCCGACGGACAAATAAATGGCTCTTTTCATGCCTAAGAAGGATTATAGTTTAAGGCTAACCCCCTCAACAATCGATCTCAGCCTAGGAACATCCAAATTGCATGAAACTTTCAGAATATGTTGCGGCTGGTGAGCGATGGCTATGGTAAAATTTTCAGCGCTATATCATGACGTTTGACAGAGATATTCACCAAACAAGGATCGAAAATAGTTCTATCATAGCGTTAAGATTTCTCTGTGGTGGCCTTCATTTTATACATTTAAATTTTTTTTTTGTTTGAAAGCTTGTGTCTAGAGCTAGCCCCTTTCGTGGCTCTTTTTTTAAAACTCTTACTTTTTAAACGAACAAAAGAGATGACAAGTTTAATGACTAAAAAACCCCTAAAAAATGGCACTGTTTTTACAGAGGTATTTTCCTATATGATAATAAAAAAACTTATGTTTGGAAGAGGGCTACGAGGAAGGCTAGCCCTAGATACAAGCTTTCAAACAAAACAAAAAATATTTGAGTTTATTTTTTATTATGATAGAGTTCTGGTGACGCTACATCGTTGAACCCACGTTCTGAGAAAAATGATTTTCGGTTTTTTGTAGAAAAAAAGGTGCTGAATAAAAATTTTTGTCGCATACGAAAGAGCAGCTGGCGGGCTATTTCTCCATGAATTTATCTCAATTTCGATGATTCTGGTGAAAAACGACTTTTTTTAAGGGGATCTTAATTACAACGATCATGTATAGTTTTCTTTTTTCCTTATCAAACTATTATTTTCATTCTAGATTTATCATTGCATAAATGAGACTATTTTTTACTCTATATACATATACACATTCAAATTTTTATAAGTTAAATAATCATTTTTTTTTTGAATGTTTTATAGAAAAAAAAAGCTGTCGTTCACAAAATATTTACATAGAAACAAATTATTTCGTTGTTTTTTTTTTTTTTTTTGTTTATTCCATATAAACTGAACCATCATCTGGTGTTAAATAACCACAAGCAATAAGTACAGAATCAATTAATGTCCAAATACCAAGACCACCAAATGAAAAAATTTTTCCAAGTGCTTCTTTAATATGTCCCAAATAGAATCGATCAAAACCTAGGCCACCAAAAAAAATACTTATTAATAAAGCATTTGATTTTTTATGACCACTTGTCCAATTACATTCAATATTACGATAAAATGTTCGTGAACCTAAACAAAGTTGTGTATCATCAGCTAATGTACAATTTGATTTATAACGATTAGAATTTTGATGATGACGACAAGCAATATTTGGTGTACAAGCAAGTTCATCTAATGGTGTTTGATAACAATATCGACATATATACAAACGTTGAAATGATGAAACAATTTTATTATCATTATTTGTACATGAACCATTAAACATTCGACATGAACTTAAAAGTTCTTCACCATAAATACAATTTGTTGTTAATATACAATCAAGACATTCAACAGGTACTTGATTACATGATATAAGACCATTGATATTACATTGACTATGAATTAAATTAAATACTTGAATAAAAATTAATAGAATACTATTAACATTTAACATCAGTTCATTGTTTGTAACAAGAATCAAGAAAAAACAAAATTGACAATCCAATAAAATCAACTAAAAATGATATTTTCATTGGTTAATCTTGAAACCAATAATATTGATCTAAAACTACCTAGCTTTTTCTTTCTCATTTCATTATACGTATATGCATTCGAGGGCACAGCTATTGTATGACCTCTTTTTCAGCAGATATATATAGCTCATGTCTGTTTTGTTTTAGATTTCATTTTATTTACATTTTACTAATCTCAAACGAATAATGGCTACATCAGTAAAAGAAAAATAAAGTGTATATTATTTTAGTTTTCTTCTATGTATATTCTACTAGGGTCAAAAAGAACCAATTCATGTTGTAATAACCGGAGCTGCTGGTCAAATTGCTTATTCATTAGTTTATCAAATTTGTAATGGTGAAGTATTTGGAAAAGATCAAGTTAGTTGTTTTTGTTTTTTTTTGTCGTTTTAAAAATAGTTTACATTATTTTTTTTTCTGTTTATTTAGCCACTTATTCTTCATTTACTTGATATAACACCAATGTTGGGTGTATTACAAGGTCTAGTCATGGAAATTGATGATTGTAGTATACCATTAGTTAAAGGTTAATTTATAGAAATTTAAAGAAATTTTTCATAAAGATCTTTTTTTTATGTAAAATTAGGTGTTGTAACAACGGATAATGAAGAACAAGCATTTAAAGATGCTGATGCTGTCTTTTTGGTTGGTGCTATGCCACGTAAAGAAGGCATGGAACGTAAAGATTTACTTACTGCCAATGTTAAAATTTTCAAATCACAAGGTACGGCTATTGATAAATTTGCCAAGAAAACTGTTAAGGTAAAAAAAAAAAAAGAAAACTTTTGGTATTTTCTGTATAAAAAAAATAATAAAACAATTATTAGATTCTTGTTGTTGGTAATCCAGCAAATACAAATTGTCTCATTTTGGCTCATTTTGCTCCATCAATTCCTCGAGAAAATTTTAGCTGTTTAACACGCTTAGATCATAATCGTGCAAAAGCACAAATTGCATCACGACTTAAAGTCTCACCTGATGCTGTTAAAAATGTTATCATTTGGGGTAATCATTCAGCAACACAATTTCCTGATGTTCGTTCAGCAACTGTGAATGTTAATGGTACCGATACACCTGTTTATGATGCCATTAAAGATGATCAATGGCTCAAAAGTGATTTTATTTCCGTAAAAAAACAAAAAAAAAACAAAAATAAATAAATCAATATAAGTTCATTTTTTTTTACAGATTGTACAAAAACGTGGTGCAGCTGTAATTGCTGCACGTAAACTTTCAAGTGCTATGTCAGCTGCTAAAGCTAGTTGTGATCATATGCGTGATTGGTGGCAAGGAACAAAAGAGGTAAGTTGAAAAAAAAAAAAATTTCTTGTTTTAATACGATCAATATTTTAGAATGAATGGGTTTCCATGGGTGTTGTTAGTGATGGTTCATATGGTGTTGAAAAAGGATTGGTATATAGTTATCCAGTACATATTAAAAATGGTCGTTATTCAATTGTTCAAGGATTACCTGTTGATGATTGGGCACGTGAATTACTGGACAAGACTCAAAAAGAATTACTCGAAGAAAAAACTGATGCATTAAAAGCTACAAGCTCCGAATAAATTGGTGCATCATAAATAGGACTCGTTTTATTTAGTTTGTTTTTCCCGTGTGGTCCATAGAATTTGTAGTCAGTGAATAAATGTAGTACAACACTATAGTTTTATCATTCTATCCATAATAAAAAAAAAAATAATTAATCATATATAGAACTAATCTTAAAGGTTTAAAAAACCTAAATTAAATTTTTGTTTTTGTTTTTACTCGAATTCATCAAGGTGATAAGAAAGTATTGCCAAGCAATGTGTTTATGTAAATAATCAATTTCTATATATAGAACAATTTGCTATGAATCATAGATGATTTGTTTACCAATGTTTGAATCAATTTTAACCTTAAAGAACTGAAAATAATTATTTTATTTATGCTTCATTTCAAGTTCGATGTGATGAGAACGAACAATGTAAATAATGGTTTCATTTTGTAAATGTTCTGATTTTTTTTGTTTTATTTTGTTGTCGTTAAATCTCATTTAAACTTCGACCAATACAAAATAAGAGCAACAAGTATTTTTTTTTTATAGCATAGCAAATGTTTACTGCAATTATCAAATGAATTATTCCATATTATTAATAAAAATATTGAAATTTTTTTTTTTTCAATGAACTAAATCATTCAGCTTTATTTGGAATATAGAACATAGTCAATATTTACATGAAAAAAGAAAAAGAAAAACTATTTTCCACTTATTATAAGATTAGCACAAATACATAATAATATAATAACAGCTGTATTGAAAAATAACATATTACGAAAACGTGGTTCTAATTCACCTGAACGATACCAAAATGCCTATGTAATAATAAAAATTGAAGAAAACATAAAAAATTAACACAATCTCATTTTTTATAATTACTTACTAAACATAAATGTGAACCAAGAAGTAAAATAAGACAAATATTTAAAAAAATATGTGTACCACTAAAATGTTTGAAAAGAAACATGCCAACAAATGTTGCCTAAAAATAAATTAAATAAATATTTAAAATATTTTCTATGTTCATCATCAATAATTTACAAGAACAAAGACAGTCGTTAGAGCAGTAATGATAATGAATGAAATTCGATCCTAATAGATAGATAAAAAAAAAAGAAAACAATTTTAACTATATAAATAAAAAATTAAATTATAATTTACTAGAGATCTTGTTTCACCAAAAAGTGGCCGATCAACAAGATCAGCATAAGCTGAATTTGATGTCATAGTCTTAGGATTATTATTTTAAATTTATTCGAACAATGTACGTTACTTTTTTTTATTAAATGAATCATAGTGTTTCATTTGATAGGTTATTTCAAACCAATAGAATCCAAAGTATGTTTTTGTAATCGAACATCGATGCATCTTGTGACAACTAGTCATGTAATATTTAGTATTTTGAAAGTTTTCATTAGAATCTAATGATGATATTCATCATAATATATGAATAAAGAAGAAGAATAACAGAAATTCAATTTCAATGTAAACAACAATGTGATCATATACATTATAAAAGCAGCAACTTTTGTTTGTCAATTGTATGAATAAGAAGTTGCAATTATTCGTTTGTATTCATATTCAAACATTCGTTTATTTTAACATAAAATAAAAACATTCAAGAGTCTTGAATAAAAGTAGCTGCTCTTCTATGAAGTGTTACTATTCTTTATAGCATTGAACTGCTTTTTTGTGTACGACAATGAACCTTGATCACTAACCCGCCCTCTATCGGTTCACATGTATTGAAGTTATGATTCAGATATTATCTTCTTGTGGTCACCTTATCTCAACCATATTGACACGAATATTTTTCTCGAATAACTCATTCGAAAGTCCAATGTCGTAGCTATCTCTAGCTCGAATTTCATTAGAAATCACTTGAAAATAACTGAAATATTATCATCTTATTAAGAAGAGCAAATATTGGTGTTTTTTTTTTTGTAGTAAGATGGATTTTTTTCGATTGATTCATTTAAAAATTTTACTAGAAAATTCTTGTGAGACGATAAGTCCGTTGTCAAAGTTTTACATTGAATGAAGTCGAGTCAGCGCTATGACATAGGTTCGGTATGAACCGACGATTTGCGATCACAGTTTATTGTAGTATATGTACACTCAAAAATGATATTGCATAATGGTATTTAGTGATAAATACGTGATGAATAATGGTTTATTTTTTATTAAAAAGATTTGGGTTTGATTATAAACTATCGAATTTGTTTTTTAGAGACCTCAGATTTTTGATCTGAATAGATAAAAAACCTCAGAAGTTTTGACCAAAGTTTCGTCGAGATATGAAGTTTTCCAAAAATTTATCTTGTATACACAAGGGTCTACTGTGTAAGTCGATGTATTGATCATTGTCGATGTCGATTGAAAATTTTTGATGATTTTTGTTCTAAAGTTATTTTATTTTGAAATGAAAAAGAGAGAAAACGAATGTAGGGAATTTATTAGCAAGAAACCAGATAGTAACATCTCGAAAGATTGATTTGGAACGTTAGTCACTTTTAAAAATCAAATATCTATTTTTGAATCACGGTGATGGTGGTGCGGCTCACCTGATCGATTTACACTTCTAGGTACAATCTTGTTGATCGTATGAATACACAAATACATTTCTTTGTGTAAAGTAATATTATTATTATTATATTCTCTAGTTTTCTTACCACATCCAGCTCGCTCGATACCGTATAAATAATGTCTTCTATCCGTTTGTCTTATCAACACAAGACTATAATATCATCTTCCTTTTCTACGCAATGAATAAAATGTTGATTTGGTTTCTGTCATCGTTTTTCTTTTCTTTATTGCCGTTGTCTTATCAGCTGCTATGATACATTATATTCTGACCGCTGAGTATACCAAAAATAGGTACAAATGATATGCAATTGCTTCTCTTTTCTCCTTCTGGTTTTGTTTTCTATTTTTTTTTAGACAGAAAATCATTGTTAGACTTTGTTACCAAAAGAAAGCCTAGAATTAACTCGAAAAATTAATGGGAATAGTGGACGAGATGTTGCTAACTATTTAATAAAAAATCAATAGCAATTGCTCATAATTCTTTTCATGTTTCAGGATCCTGATTAAAAATCATGTATTAAAGCAGTTACTACAGGCTTCAGTATGGATAATTACCCAATGACTATATCCCTGGTTATGACACAAGACAGTTTATCAAAATTTTTTCATGAATTATTTTTACAATTAAAGAAGCACGATTGTAAAACAAACCAGAATGTATAGATACAGCTCAACTTTTTATATTTTCGATTGATACGTAGCTATAATACAGTTGTCACAGTTTGTCATTTAATAGTAATAGTATAGTTTTGTATTGATGTTACTGATGAAAAACTCCGTTTGCTTGAAACCGTTACAAGTTAATGAACCATACATGAAGGAACATTTTTTGTTATGGAAGTACCAAGAAATTTTCACGTTCAGACAAGAAGAAAAAAAAACTTCATTTACTAAAACTATTAATTTACATAGTCTGTTGTTATTAGAAAGAGTCTTCTTAATAATAACATACTCAGTTACTTGCAAACTACCGTTAATTATTTGAATGATTGTTGCATCATTCAATTCAGCAGACACTCTCTTCTTAGTAATATAAAAAGTTTAGAAATTGTTTTTGAAATAATTTGAAAAAAAGAGAAATTTTCGCGTCCTTCAAAAAGTTCTTCCAATTAGGAGCACTGATCGTAATTTATTCATTGATATTAGTTTTTTCCTTCCTTTCTCTGTTAAAATAGGCAAATATTCGTTAAGAAAATGAAAATTGGGAAGAGAGTCTGAAGTCTGATCTGTCATAAACGACATGATTTTTTGATTCGTCACATCGTTTCTACTAAAGTCTCTATTTCATGCTTTTTTTTTCATCATAAAACTCCAAAATTCTCTGTGGTTCACCATTTTATACATTTAATTTTGTTTTTGAAAGAATATGTCAAGATGCAGCGCATGACTACACTGCATCCTTCCTTGTTACAAAACAAAGAAAAACTTTATTTTTATATTATTACATATATTTCATTTGATCTATTTCAAAAAAACAATCATAATTTTTCTCAGAGATTTAAATGAAAAGAATTCTGAAAAATATTTTACTATACAAATGTAGAGAGTTACATTCGAAAGAATGCATCAGAGTGTTTTCCTATTGTTTATCCACAGTTCAGTATTGATAAATGTTGAATAATATCATAGGAACTTCGGATGTCACTACGATCGCAGGATTGACAAATCTGGTAAATGTATTGTGGTTTGTACTGGTATTACCGGAAATGGAGTTGATATGTTGAATGGGTCGTTAGCATTGATATTTGATAGCTTATAGATCGGTCTTTATTAGCGATCAAAATAATAATCGATTACAGAAATTTCAGATAATTGACAGTTTTGGTGAGTACAATTGTTTCTCGATTCGAATTACTTCAGATCAAAGTTCAACGATAATGTCGACTTCAACAACAACAGATCACGAAACACTATTGCAAGTCCCGTCTGAGTCAAGTAGACCACATTCAATAACAGTTGCAATATCAATCAATTATTCAATTATTTTCTAGCTTTCCTTTGCTTTTTTTACCATCAAAACTTGAAAGATTTTGTCCTTCGCATCAGGACTACACAATGAATTACAGAATGAACAAATAGTTTGTTTCGTTGATTTTAACAATCGTTCTTTCTCTCTACTGCTTTCATACTAAACTCCCTTGTCGCGTTGATATTATTGTGTCAATGTCAATTTATTTGTAATCGGAGACTAGTAAGGCTCGATTCGTAAACAATGTAGAAAACGTAAAAGCTTTCAGATCCAAATTAACAATTAGAATTTTTCAATGCCATCAATAATATACACCGTTTCTTTTTGCAACACCTACTCGAATAACTATGGTTGTTATTAATTTCAGATCATTTAAGGTAGCGCAAATGATGCTCCTCAGACAGTTGCTCCCACGACACGTGATTCCTGGACATTTGCTCTCGCGACACTTGCTCCCCAGTGACCGTTGCTTCCCAGACATTTGCTCTACAATATCATTTGTAATGGGTGTAGGCTGGGGGGTGTGGATTTGGGTATTGATGTGCATGTAGACATGATTCTTCTTTCCATCCATCGACACTCCATACCCTAGTTATGGCTTTAGCTCAAAATATTTCATTAAAACATTCATGAGTTTTATATTCTTTACATTTATAAAATCAATAATTAACTTGGGAATCAAATTGTATGTATTTATGTATTTTTTCTTCAGAGTTCTTTTATCTGTTATTGATATTATTTCTAATTATGTAATATTTCAATAATTTGTAGAATTCACATGATCTTAATTATTCAATTGTTGTATTCAAAATCTTAAACTAATAAACTTATACATTATTGTTGTATTTTATAAGTTTTATTCAGTATTGTTCAAGAGGAAGCATTCAAAGAGCAATTCTTCAGGGAGCGAATGTCCGGGGAGCACCATTTATGGATTCATATTCCTCAAGAATAATAACCAGTATATGTCCTTCAGGTCTGTAGATTAATATCTTTTTCTACGCACTAGTCAATTCTGAGCCATATTCAAACGTTGTTGTTCAAGGTTGATTTATATTAAAGTTTGACTATGTTTTTTCGTTGATATTGATCTCATGCTCAATATATATTTTGATACGATTTGTTTAATGAGTAATCCAATATGATTTTTTTTTCTCATTCTTCGTTTTTGCCTTATTATACGTACCTACTAAATAGAAATGAATCTAAAAAACAAGGAAAAAGTAAACACGTGCTTCTTTAACGATACATATTTTCTTCGCCATGGTATCAATTATATTAGCAAGTCTCTTTGTAATCACTATTATTCTGATTTATATCTATTTGAAAAGAGATTATTCTCCATCATCGGATGATTTACCAGGTGTGAAACCACATATTTTTTTTGGTAATCTTATTAATTCTGGTATAGTATCGAAAGCATCAACTTTTCGTGAAGTAATGCTCGATTATCAACATCGTTTTGGTGATAAATTTCAATTTTGGTTTGGATCACATCGATGTTTAGTTTTCTGTCGAATGGAACATGTTCAAACAATATTTACTGATCTCATCATACATTTGAACATTCACCATTATTTCTTCCAGATTTCAATCTTCTTTGTTCAAATGGTATTATAATGTTGACTGGTGCTCGATGGAAACGACATATACGAGTTCTATTACCGATGTTTAAACGAACAAAAATCATTGGTCACTTGGAAACAATTGTTGAATGTGCTGATCGTTTTATTGATCAAAATCTTCATTCTGATCAAATTCATCGAGATTTGATTTCATGTTGTCAATCATTTACAATAAATGTCATTGGATTCATTGGATTCGACTATGATTTCGATATTCATGTTAATTTATCAATAAAAAAAGCTTTTCAAGATTTTATTTTCTATGCTAAATTTCTAATAATTGCATCATGGATACCTCGATGGTTAAAGAAAATCTATTTGAAATATGATTCGAAATATCAACAAGCTTATCGATTGATTCATGAATTAGCAGAAAAACTTGTCGAAGAAGAACAAAATAATAGGGAAAATGAAGGACCAAAAAATCTGATTGCTTTATTAGTCTCATCATTGAATGAACAAGCTAATGATGAACATACTTCATCTGGTCTAACACGTTCAGAAATATTTGATGAAATTTTAGTAATGATTTTAGCTGCTTATGAAACAACATCAGCTGCTATAGCATGGTTTATATTCTTTGTAAGTAAACATCCTCAAATACAACAACGAATGAAAGATGAATTACGTGAACATCATCTTCTGATGACTGATGATCTTAGAGGTAAACCACCAGCTACGTCAGACAATTTAACTTCATTAATCTATTGTGAATGTGTAACAAAAGAGGTTAGTCTCATTTCGAAATGTTAGATGATTTTTTTCGTAATATTCTTCACTGCTTCTAGGTCTTACGTTTAGCTCCTATTGCTGGACTTATAATACGTAGAGCTACTTGTGATACTAATACTGATGATGTGAAAATTCATCGTGGTCAAACTATTTTTATTCCTTTACAAAATATTCATACTGATACTCGCTATTGGCATCATGCTGATCCTCGACAATTTATACCGGAAAGATTTTTAGCTGAAGATCAAAATCATCATCCATTAACGATGATTCCATTTGGCGGTGGACATCGAGCATGTATTGGACAAGAATTAGCTTGGCTAGAATTAAAAACAATTATTGTTCGAATGATGCAACGTAATATTACATTTGAAGATACATCGGAAAATACCGGCGGTTATGACGAACGTATTGCATGTTTTCCAAAAAATTTGGCAGTACATGTGCGCTTCGATAGACCTTAATGTTCGATGCTAATGAGACTAGAACTATAGACAAAAAGCTATTCAATTTTGTTTGAATACTCATTGTCTTATGTGGATGGATGCATGCAACTTATGGCGAAGATCTAATAGATACTAGGATTTTTATGCTTAATCTGTTTCAATTCAATTTTCAAGTATCTCTCCTTGTTTTATGAAAAATTGATTATAAATTCATGGGATAAGAACTTTAAAAAAAAAATCTGTGATAGGATTCTAATTCACTCATAATGCTTGTGAATTGTCTCTCATCCATCAGGACATGGAGAACATGCTGAAGGTCAATGCAAAGAAGTTTTGGGAGTTGTAGAGTAAAGAATCCAATTTTCCATTGAGACTAGTATCGGTAATAGTCATGCAAAGTTCTCAGTCACACTCTGAACGATGAAGAAAAAAAAAAGAAATTTAGATAGGCGAACTAACTGCATTGAAGTTGTCTATTTAAGTATGTAAGTATTTCCATATCTCAAGAGAGGGGAGAGCAGCTGTCAATCAATTAAGATTGCCATTCATACAACCGATAAGCTTCGGTTGCATTCCACTCGTCACACCATTTTCATATGACAACGATGGTCTATTCTAATTAATAGGTGTATAATAATCATAGCATTGATAAAAAAGTTGATTGAATAACGGAAAAAAGAGTAGGAAGATTCATAACATACATCGAAATAAAGTGTCACTAAAATAAAGAGCCATATGTAAGAATGCTCCTATGTAGAGTATAGAGATGAAATTGAAAGCTCGCAATCAATTCGGATGGATTCTTCTTGATTTATTCCATTCAATAGAGATTATAGTTGTTTTCAAAAATTTTTAATTTTCACTATGACTTTGAGAAAAAACAATAATAATCATTTAGAATGATATGATCTCGTTTTGATATTATTGTTAGTAGCGTCCTCTATTGAATAGTTCTGTTATTAGAGATTGAATGTTCGTCGTCAGGACAACAATAATGAGCTCTTTTCTTCTGAATCAGTTTATTATTAAAAGATTTAATCATGTTTCAACAAACTCAATCAAATAATAATTTACCTTCAAATTATCTTCAATTTCATGAAAATGCATTTGTTTCTCCTCTTAATCTTATTAATGTTACACATCCTGCACCGATTTCTTTTGGTCGAGCTCCACATTTTCTTCAACAAACTATTCCACGATATGATACATCAGTATCATCATCATCATCATCACCTCAGCTTCAATCGATTGATGCAAATAAATTACATATGTATCAATTTTTAGCAAAACGTAAACTTAAAGAAGATCAATGGAAAAAAGAAATGAATGAAAAAAATCCTATTCAACAACGAAATATTCGTTCATTACAACCGCAACAACGTTCAAAAAATCCATTAGTTCGTCCTAAATCAGTTCCAAAAAAATCTACCGTACCTAAAAAAGGTTAGTCAATTTTAATTTTAATAATCTAATTTTAATCTCAATATATTCAAAAGATATTAGAAAAGAAATAAATCGTTCTTCAATAACACCAACACCAATTCATATTATTCGTTCAAATGATTCATATGCTGCATTTTCTATTGGTAAACAAAATGAAATAACTGATGTTCATGAACAACTTCTTATACAATTACGTATTTTACATAATCCACCAACAAGAGAAAATATTATTGATGAAACTGAACAAGAAAAACAAAGACGAATAAGACTTAAACGTGAACGTATAAAACGTGATTCACGAGCTATTTATAATGCACATCAAGAACTTAAACAAATCCTTAATGATGCACAACAATCAGATGCTAATTTTGTATGTTCGAAATTCTACGAATATTTTCATTTTGTGATTTTTCAAGAAGAGTTCTTAAGGAAAATATTTACAAGAATTTTTAATAAAATTTTCTCTATTCTTTACTGAGCCGAATTTAAAAGTTGACAAATTTCTAAGTGTAGAAGACTTATAGAACTACTGATCGGGATATTCGTCATCAAGATTTTCAAACTAAACGAAGAGGTAAAATGACGATAGAGTGCGACCTAAAGATATTTTTCATTTACTTTCTTTTGACCAGAAAACTGTATTCTAATATGGAATTGATCATTTTGTGTATATTTTAGCCTCGACTTATACATCGTCATTTAAATGCTTATAAAGCAATTTTACTTGCTGTTGAAACTCTTGCAAATGAAGCACCACTTAAACCACAAGATACACCTGTTCAACAACTTCACACTGCTATATTACCTGTTCTTGAAACTTTAACAAATACAAATCATGTACTTGGTTTATCTCAATTACGTATAGATCCAACATTTTTTCATAATCCTCCATCAAAAAGTATTCATTCACCACCAATTTCTGATAATCGTGCATCACCATCGAATCAACTTTTACCTACTATTTATAATGAATTAATAAAAAAGAAACAACGAAAACCACGAGTAATACCATCAGTGTTACGTCCACGTAGTGCTGAATCAGTACGATTACCTCGTACTAATACATCGTCTATAACTCGTCCAACAATGTCAAGACAAAAGAAAACTCGAGCACGAAGTCATTCACCATTACCATCAATAAAATCTGCTTCAACAATTGAAACACCATTTTATTCACGTTTTACTGTTGATCATATTCTTGGTAAATTAGCACCATGTCTTCTTACAAATTATACAGGACATGAATTAAGTGAACAAATTGAACGTGCACAAACATTAATTCCAATGTTTCTTGTTGATAATCGTTTAACAGATGATGAAATAGTTGGACGTGTTATACAAATGTTAATGCCAAGACAACAACAACAACAACAGATTCTTTCATCAACAACTGGTTTCGAAGGTTTAGAAACACCAGAAGAACGTATGCGTCGAACTAATATTGATACTTATCAAACACAGATATCTACATGGGACGATGAAATGTCACAAATTCGACAACGTATTCAAAATTATAAAACAAATCGATTAGAACAAGAAACAACAATACAAAAAACAATTAAATTTCAATCTAATCCAATAGAAATATCAATATTACCAGAAAATATTCATATAGATAGACCACATCTTGAATATACACTTGATGATTTTCCAATAAAATCAAATGAAAATAAACAAGCATTTGAAAAAACAATTATACAATCTCCATCCCGAAATTCTATTCGATTACATAATTTAGATTCAAATAAAATACGACAAATTGAACGTTATCAACGAGATTTTCGAAATTATTTACAAAGAACAGAATCAGCTAAACAAGATAATTTTGATCCATGTCAAGTTATTAATAGGTTAGTAGTACTAATAAAATCTAACGTCTACTACAAAATTCTCTTTCTCTAAGGACTTTTCACGAGGGTGTAACAAAAAAAAACGTTTTGCAAAAAGTTTGAAACTTTTCGAAAGCAAAAGTTTCCACTAATCGGTAATCTTGCAGGAGATAGTGCAACATGAGATCCTTATAAACTTATTTTCTAGATTATGAATTAATTTTTCGTATTATTTAGATTATCAGAATTTCTACTTGATGAAGCATTACTTTCTGTTGTTAATGAAATTGAATTATTAACTATTGAATTAAGTCAAAAATTAGTTGAAAATGAATTACTTGGTCGAGAAATATCATTAGCTGATGTTGCAAAAGAACAAAAACAACAACAACAACAACAACAACAATATCGACGTCCATTACAACAAATTGATCGAAAACATTCACCATCACCTTTAAGTGAACGATATACATCAAGTTTTGAAGAAGATATTAATACTGAAAGTAAAATAACTCCTTCAGATGATGATGATGATGAAAATATTCGACATCGAAAATTACCAATGGAAGGTACAGGTCGTTTTACAACAACAACAGCATTTGAACAACGAAAATTACCACGAAATCAATTATCATCATCAACATCATCATCATCGATGACTAATTCACCAAAAGGTATTATTCTTAAACCAACAATTATTGTTAAAAAACCAAGTTCAATTCATGAAGATAATGATCAATTCTCTGATCGTGATGCTGATTCATTAGTATCATCAAAAGAACGTCAACAACAATTACGACATCAATCAAGTGCTGATGATGATGATGATGATGATCTATTATTAAGTACAAAAACTGGCGAAAAAATATATTCAACTGATTTTGAAGAATCAAAAAGTAAACAACTTCGTAATATTAGTAATTATGATGATGAAGATGATGATGATATTGCTGATACAACGAAATTATCTGCTCGATCATTAAATACTGCTCAACGTCGTTCATTTGATAGTGATGATGATGATGATGATGTTTAATTTTACTATTTGTAATTATCATATGTGTGTGTATTTGATTTTTTTTTGTATGTAGAATCATTTATATAGAATAAAAAAGAACAAATAGGATATTTGATGTTTGACTAATATAAACAAAGATTAATATGAAAAACTTAATGCATCATTTTTATTAGAATACAATAACTGATCATTTGAAAAATATTTCCTAGATTGTAAGAATAGGATCTAGAATAGAACTGATCGGATCTTGGATTAAACCGACGGACCTCTCAGTCTAGAAACGAGAACTCATCTATATCTGTAACATAATTACCATATAGTACCTATCAGAGCTCTACAGAACGACCAAAAAGTCGTCTCATCGCATCCCGCTTCATTCCGTTATTTGCACGTAACTCGTTTTTTCTCAAAGTACGATTGAAAAAAATCCAGCGAATTTATACTTTCTTCTTTGATGTAAATCACTTATTTTACTAAGCATCTGTTTCAAAACAATATTTACATAAGAATATTTTTATCACAAAAATAAACAATGAAATGTTCAATAAGAAGTATAATTTTAAATACGGCTCATCGAATAACTGATCTGAGAAAATATATATTGTCGACATTTTTCGACGTGTGAGTAGTGTACATGCTCTGCAAAAAAAAAACATAAAGAAGATTTGGAGAATCTTTTGAGTCTTTGAAAAGTTCTGTCTTTTACCCGAAAGTAGAAACCTTCAAAGACATTCTCCTAGAAATCTTTTTCTGTGACCAGAACCTTGTTGTCAAGGATTCGACTGTCGAATAAAACATAGAACCTTTAAGAAACCTAAAAAGTTTTATAAATCTCCTTTATTTTTTTTCCAGAACATCCACAATCCTGCCTCATATACACTTGGCAGGAAGCACAAGTGAATTGATCTTGTTCCAACCTGTCCTGAAGCGGAACGGTACTAGTCCTACGAAGCTCTGGTGGCTGTAGCAACAAAGGCACAAATGACTGTGCAGGATAAAAAAAAAGATCATCTATGCATTAGGATTCAAAGTAACCGACGAATAGCATCCAAGGACGAAATATATACTCCGTGTTTTACCGTTTACGATCGTATTTTTCTATATCACGTACGAAGAAGTACGGTCGTAATACTAAGCCATATAATACGACAATTTACGGTCGTTCAAGAACGTACTTTTCCGATCTTGGATATTTTTTGGTAGTGACAGTCACTATTATTAAACAATTGAATGATTTAATCAGTGTGGCGAAAAAAATCATATTATTTGAATAATTTGATATTAATTTTTCTGTGTAATAGAAATAGTGCATATATAAATAATTATATTGATTTCTATGTTATCTTCATAAATCCATATGGTACATATATTAGCATCCGATTTCTTCAGAATCGTCTAGATCAATCTGAAATTCGACATTGGGCGGACATCAATTTAGGCCATTCTCGGATTGATCAGTTACAATATGTCCAATCTAAGACTCGCCTGAAAATTTTAGTCGAATCTGAAACTGACCTTGGCTAATCCGAAATTAGAGACTAATATATTGCATTCTATGTGGAAGTGTTGATTCAAGTCAAAGTAGATGGATTTAATATCGGACACTTTTATTTCAAACATAAATAGGACAGAATAAAATGAATGATGGAAAATCAGAATGTATTCAATTTGAAGTTTTTGATTCAAATACTGAGTAAAAAAAATCTCTATAGTATTTTGAAAATATGATTATTTCTAAATTAATCGATATATTAGGCGGTAAAATATTTAAAAAATTGGTTGTTTTTTTTTTTGTTTCCATCATGTTTGATCAAGAGATTGAATCATTATCGAATAAATTAGTACAATTTATTCAAGATTTAACAATTAATATTCAAACAATTTATAATAAGAAAAATTTTACTGAAAATTTTTTTCAATTATTTCAATTACGTAGTGATTATTCTAAACAACTTGCTTATTTATTTGATATATTAATTAATAGATTTATTGAAGAATTTCTTCTTAATCGAATAACAAATCAAATTATATTAAATCTTGATCCTGTTCAAATATGGCGTTCAATACAATGTTGTATTGATCAATTAAATGATATACAATGTCAAAATTTATGTTTAATTATTAAACATATTCGAATATTAAACAATTATTTTTATAATCTTTTATTACAATTAAAAGTAAGAGACAAAAAAAAGAAAAGAAAAGAAATGAACAAAAAAAAAATTTCATATATAATAGAACTATTATATATAGAATGGTGAATTTCTTAAAATTGATCAAATACGTATATTGAATCAAAATTTAATTGAAGAATTAAATCATCTATCAGAATGTTTAATAAATTTTACAACTAATTTCTATAATAATTGTCAAAATATTAATAATAAATCTTCAAAACCTATTGATACTTATCTATTTCAAAGTCAATCAACAGCACAAAATCCAAACAACAACAATCATATTAATCAAACAATACCAAATATTTCACCAAATGAAAAATCCAACATTTCTCCAGCTATAAATTCCAATTGCTATCCATATAATATCATACGAAATCCATGTCCACAACAACAACCATGTTGGACTGGCATTGGACAAACTCATTGTATTCAAACAAATCCAATTCGTTGTCCCATAGGGACAATTCCAACTGTTGCTACATTTCCATATACTAAACCAATGTATTGTGGCATCAATCCAAATAAAACTGAAATACCACCTCTATGTTTTCCAACACCTATTGTCTACACACCTGAAATGGAAACATTATTCTCATCCGGTGGTATTATTTATGCACGAAAATCAGGTAAATTAAATGTTTCCTCTTAAGTATTTGCAGCCGAAGATAATCAAAAAATTTTGATATCCTACAAAAATTTATTAATATAATGGAACGAGAAACCAATATTTAAGCCTATGATACCTTAATCTAGAGTAGGCTTCAGCCTACCCAAGTCCCATGACCCCACCACCTGTGTGTTGACTTTATTTTTAAAAAAAATTAATTTTTTCTTATTTAGGTAATACATGGATTGCTGAAAATTTGGGTACACTTATTGAAACACTTAAAGATATTGGACAAACAATTGATATGAATGAACATTATGAAATTTTAGTACGAAAAACTGGTGAATTAGTTGTTCATCGAAAAAGAGGTCGTCGAAAACGTATGTTACAAGAAACTTTAAACAATAAACGAACATCATCTTATGATGATATGAATATTAATGAACAATATTTTGAGTCTAATCTTATTAATGATGATGATTGATAAAAAAAACAATAATTTTATTTAAAAAAAAAAGAACAGCAAAACAAAACAAATACATACACATTGATGAAATTCTTTTTTGTCTTTTAACTAATACTATCAATTTGCATTTCAACTTTTGTTGCTTCATCAAGTGGTGGCCACCAATTAGGTATTGAAGGTCTAATAGGTACATCAGCATTTTGAATACGTAATTTATGTTTCCATTCATTTAAACGTATTAATCCTATACCATATTGTTTTACTGATGAACATAATTTTCCAGCACGACGTTTTGTTTCTTCATTAATAATTGTTAAATTATTTGTATTATCATAAATACTTTTTGATAATTCTTCATAATTATTAATTTGTACAGGCATTATACGTTTTCTTATAACACCTGTATGATGTGTACGTGCAACAAGTTCTTGTCCTATATAACAACCTTTAGAAAATGATACACCATTTAAATAAACAATATTATATTCAAGTGGAATACATTCACCAGGTGGTATATCTTCAATACCTTCACTAATACCATGTTGATATAACCATTGTTTATAAATTAATATATCATTTGATATATGACAAAAATCAGCAAGATCATTTATTTGTATATTACGTTCAGTTATAAGACGTATACCAAGACTAGAATGTCGAGGATCTGATTGACCAACAATAAGACCTTGTCGTGTTTTAAAATTTAAACAATCACGAATATCATCTTTATTTGATTGAAATTCATTTTTTGATGAAAATATTGACCATATACGATATGCTTGTGTAACATCTTCTATATTAACTTGTCTACGAAGTTTATATGTACGTAAAAGACGTATAAAATCTGGAACAGCATTTTGAGATATTTCAATTAAATATGATGATTGACTTAAATGAGGATTATAAATAATCATATCATAAAGAATTCTTCCACGAACATTAAGTAACATACTATAAATAGCATTTGTTGTTTTTAAAAACTCAATATCATTTGTAATAAGACCTTGTAAAAATTTTGATGTATCATCACCATGAACTTTTATTAAAGAACGATTATCAAGTGGTACAGCTGTAAAATAATGAAAACGATATATAGATTTATATTGAAATAATCTTTTCAACATTTTTATAGAAAACTAAGATTTTTAACTTTTTCTTCGTTCGTTTTTTGCTTTTGTTGTATTTATCATGATTGGTAATTTTCTGTGTCCATTCCATACAGATTTTTATAGATTCTTTACGACATCTATCAAAACATTAATATCAAAAAAAATATATATATATATATATATATTTCTTTTTATGTACGATTTAAATGATCAATTGATTTATTATAGGAAATCAGAATAACAAAACAAAAGAAACAATATATATGCCACGATACTTGATGATTACCTTCCATGTATGTCAATTTTTTTTTTAATCACGATACATGTATTACAATTGATTCATTCATTAAGCTATTCAGGGAGTATGATGATCATGATTCTGCTGTCATCATCATTTTCCTTGCATACACCTACAGGTTTTTTTAATCGAAAAGAGTACAAATGTAACACGCATACACTTGACTGACGTTCATCAAATGCATGTAATCCATCCGAACAGTGGAAGTGATTACACTAGTCATCATTATACCTCGTCGCCTCTCGTCAATCTACCTTATTCTATCGTGCTACACGCACACACATACATATGTTCATAGATATGACTATCTTTGATTGTTACGATGTCTAGATGGAATTTCTTGCGGGCGCAAGGCTTCAACTATATATATATATATATATATCGTTCGAGCGTAAAATACCAATGCTTCTCATTAGATCGACCGCCATTCTACTCTTCTTACTCAACTGAGTTCCACTAGTGGCATTGATGAATTGATGATAAGATGACGACGTGCTTTCATGCATGCATGAGTCTCTTTCTTTCTTTCTTTTTTTTTT